CTCTGTCTCTCACTGGCAGATACACATACCCTCTAACAAACTAAAAAAAAGAGAATGCTGGGGACCGGCAGTTAGCGTAATGGCTATGTCGCTGGACTCCCACATAGTCGACTGCGATTCGTGTCCCAGACTGGGTGGCTTAAAAACTCACGCCGGGCGCGTGTGCTTGCATGCCCAAGATCCCAAGAGGAGAACGGAGGAGAAGGGATTGCAGCATGGCCATCCCCCCTGGGGGGTGATTTCGCGCTTTCTGTCTCTCTGTCTGTCTGGCGAGCGCACGAGTCCTATAGCAAAAACCTCTCAAAAAAAAAAAAAAAAAAAAAAGAATGTTTTTCTTTCTAAAGTAAGCCTCATTGGGCAGATAGAGAATGAAAGTTCTAGTTTTTCTAAGTTTTGAATATAGTCATTTACTACATAAAATATTTAAATACAACTTTGCTGATACCAATAGGAAAAAAATCCCTTTTCTGCCCAAATTGTCTCTGGAGGACAATGACTTTATAAAATTTATGTGCTATTGTGAAATACTAGTTTCAATTATTGCTCCATGATGTAAACTCATTTCTCCAAATAGCCATTGAAGTTGCAGTAAATTTTATTTTAGCCCAGTCTCATTTTACAGATAAGGAACACAGAATCTGCAGTCATGTGATTCTCACACATATGGCTAGTTAAAAAGACAGTGTTGGGGCCAGCAGGTAGCGTGGTGGTTAAGGCACTGGATCCTACATGGCTGACTCCACAGTTTAAGTCCTGGAGCCAACAACTTGAAAACCATATGAGGTATATGTGCGTAAGTGCCCACAATTATGGGAACAGAAAAGAAGAGACTGTGATGTGACCATGCCCCCTGGGGGAGGGAGGGCGTGATTTCTCAATTTTCTCTGTCTCTCTCCAGCAAGTGCACCTTCTCTATGGCAAAAACAATCATTAAAAAAAAAAAAAAAAAAAAAAGGGCAGTGTCAGAATTTGAATCTAGATCCCCAAGCCCCCTAACCAATGTCTTTTCTATCATGTAGGTTCCTAGTCTATTAACTCAGCTATCAGAAGCAGTTCTTAATCACTCAACTGTTTTCTTATTTGCAAATTCCCTCATAATCTGTCCCTCTGATAATCAGAATGGCCATTCTCTGAACGTTTCACTTCCATTAGGGCATTTTAAGATCCACCATCTAACTGGATGCATGCCACAGGTTCTGCTTACATTTTAGGGGAAGAATTTTCCTTCCTGCCAGTGAAAAATGAAAATTAAATCTTGAGTACTCATCAGTAAAATAACTCCACATTCTAATTCTAATATCATGTGTCAGACACCCAAAAAAGCTTTAAAAAGTTCTTGGTGGCAGGAACCAGCAGTTAGTGTAATGGCTATGTCGCTGGACTCCCACGTAGTCCACTGCGGTTCGTGTCCCGGACCCGGTGGCTTAAAACTCATGCCGGGCGCGTGTGCGTGCGTGCCCAAGATCCCGAGAGGAGAATGGAGGAGAAGGGATTGCGGCATGACCATCCCCTCTGGGGGGTGATTTCTCGCTTTCTGTCTCTATGTCTCTGTCTGTCTGTCTGGCGAGCGCACGCGCCCTATAGTGAAAAATCTCTCAAAAAAAAAAAAAAAAAAGTTCTTGGTGGCAACATTCTTCTTTCTTCTTGAATAACTTGGTTCAAGTCAGCATTCCAAACTGGGTAGTAAAAAGGAAGATAGAAGTTATTTTTCAAGAATAGCTCTTCTATCATATGATTTAACAACTACTTACATGGCAAATTTAATCAGAAGTGCTAGAAAATTAACAGACAAGTAGAAAAAAGCAGTAATAGCAAAATTATGGTTGTAATTTCTGTCGTCTAAAACATATATAACCTCTTCACAATTGGGGAACAGCAAATTTAGTCCTTTAAGACAAGGAGCTGTTTCTTCTGCTAGCATATGACTTAGAAATAAAGTAGTTGTTTTACAGACTTCTTTTGGACATTTTTTCTTTTCGGCTATAGGGTGTGTGCACACTCACTAGAGACAGAGGAAAGGAGACACAAAGTGAGAAATCACCCCCCAGGGAGGATGGCCACATCACAATTCCTTCTCCTTCATTTTCTTCTAAGGATTTTTGGGCACACACACACACACATACCCAGTGCATTTATCAAGTCCCCGAGTCAAACAGTGAAGTTGGCCATGTGGGATCCAGCCTCCTTAACTGCTAGGCCACCTGCTTTGCCCTCATTTGGACTTTCAAAACCTATTTTAAAAAACTGGTCTTTAGGCAGGTGGTGTGGTGGTTAAGGCGCTGGACTCCCATGTGGGCGACCACAGTGACCGACCACAGTGACCGACCACAATTTAAGTCTAGGACCTGGCAACTTGCTTTCTCAATTTCCCTTTCTCTTTCTTTCTCTCTGGTGAGTGCATAAGCCCTATAGCAAACTAAAAAATAGTAATAATAAATAAAATAAATAATTCTTTAAAAAAAAACACAACAACCTGGTCTTTATATACTAAAAAGGAACCAATGAACCTGGAGATCTAGGGGGAAAAAATGAACCTGGAGATCTGAGAAAAAGGATTATTTTATCTTTGGAAAGCAAAAGCAGGGAACCAGCAGGTGGCATGGTGGTTAAGGTGCTGGACACTCCGGCATGGCTGACCATGGTTCAGGTCCTGGACCTGGTAGCTTGCTTTCTCACTTTCTTGCTCTGTCTCCCTCTGGTCAAATTAAAAAATTAAAGAATGAATAAATAAAATAAAATAAAATGATTCTAAAAAAAGAAAGCAAAAGCAAAGGGTATATAGTAACACAACCCCAAACAGGCTAGACAGTGGTACAGCAGTAAGACGCAACACTCTTCAAGGATGACCCACATGGGACAGTTTTGAGTTCACAATTGGACACTTCCCTGAATATGTAGGGTTTGAGCATGCCCATGATCTGGGGCTGGCTGAAGCGGGGGATGGACTGTGGAGTCAAGATCCTGTTAGAGGGGCCATCTCTCTGTCTCCCATGGAAGAAATAAATCTAAAACCCCAAAACATACATACACAAAACTGCCCAAAAGAAGTATCTGCGAGCTTAATGGCCAAATGAGTATTTGTAAAGAAAAATTATTAAAGCAATTACTTTCCGAACTTGAAGCTTCTCCCATAAAGAGATTTCTCCAACTCTAAATGCAGAACATTTGCTCTTCTAGTACTAGTGAAAGTAGATCATCATAAACTTCTTGTGATTCTGTTCCTATTTCCTTTTCCATTACACTCCATTTTTGGTGGGCCGCTTGTTCCATTCAATTTCATTAAAAAGCTGTTATGAAATTTCCCTTAAAGAAGAAAACAACTCAGGTTTATGTCCTGTTGATCTACTTTTAACTTCTCTGACAGGTAAAAGTATTCTGATTTAAACATAAGATACTAAGGTCTTTATGAGCAATCTAAATCTCGAGACTTTAATCTTCACAACAACATTCTAAGGTAAGTATTGTTATTTTCATTTTTGACTAAAGAAAATTGGGACATTGAGTTCAAGAAACATGCCCAAAGTTACACAGCTTGAACCCAGCTCTGCAGGGTCTGAAACTTGTGCTCCTTAAACACTATTGCCGTCTTGGTAGCATATAAAATTTAAAAATATGGCCAAATCCTAAGTTCTATCTCATGGATTATGCAACGTATCTTGGATATCGCAAATTACTTTGATTGCTGGTGTCAAGAACAGTTTGCCATCTACACTTCCTGATTTTAGGTTAGGTGTGTAGCACAAGTGAACTATTTGGTTTTTGTTTTTTTTTTTCCTCACCATACTTATTGCATAATCACAAAAACTCCAAAGGAAGAAGACTGGTTCAATTCTTAAACTTTATTTCCTGCTGGCCTAGAAGATCTTACTTAATCAGTATTTTATCTGATATACTCAATTTAACTGGTAAGCTTTTCCTAGTACTCTAAGACACTGAAGTTATTTTAGTTTTAAAGGAAATCAACCACGTATTGGTCATTTTACCTGTCAGAGAAGTTAAAAGTAGATCAATAGGACATAAACCTGGGTTGTTTTCTTCTTTAAGGGAAATTTCATAACAACTTTTAATGAAATTGAATGGAACAAGCGACCCACCAAAAATGAAGTGTAATGGAAAAGGAAACACGAACAGAATCACAAGAAGTTTATGATGATCTACTTTCACTAGTACTAGAAGAGTAAAGGATGAGTCTCCTCCTGAGTAACTCCAGCCTGACCACAATGGCCACTTGTTACACCTACCGCCCACTCCAACACTTTAGGTTCATTAGGAATTAAAAGGAGCCCAAGAAGATAAAAAGACAAACTCTGACCAGGCCTAAGGTCGCTCCTTACAACATCCCGAGGGACACAGAGGACAGGGGCACGGCGTCCCCCATCCCCAAGCCTTTCCGGCTGCCCAGGAGGCAAAGCCCACACCTGGGGCCAAGACAGTCCTCGGCCAGGGCAGTGACCCGGCTCCAGACAACCCGTCCCCTCCTTGGATCAAAGCGTCCTCACCCAGGAGCTGAAGCAGGGACAGGAAGAGAAAGGCCTGGATAGGAGAGAACAGGGGCTAAAATGTTTGGAAGCAAGGGGAGGGTACCTCCCCAGCCCCGCCGGTGGGGTCGAGGCTGGGGGCCAGGGAAGGAGCCGGCTGCCGCCATGATGGGGCTGGCGGAGCCTGGGGGCGTGACGCGGGCGACCCCGCACGCAAAGCCAGCACCCTTTCCCCGTCACTCCTGTCCCCCAGCGTGGGCCTCGGCCACAACTGCCCCCCGATACTCACGCTTTGTCCACCAGCTCCCGCACCTTCCACATGTTGCACATCCGGCCCC